GAGAGCATTTGTTCAGTCCACAGAAGGACTGCACATTAAAGAGTTCCAGTATTGTGTTCATGAGTACTGACCAACAGCAACGTGGACCTCAAGGCCACAGAACGAACAAATGGACGGCATTGACTTTCAAGGTGTGTTTGTACATCTCAAACTGAAAAGAGCACCATTGAGTAGAAGGACGGTTTTCAAAGGGACAAGTGAGCTAAATGATCAATGATCAAGCGGCGCACAAAAAGGCAATCTTGTAAAAAAAAAACGCTTTGGATCCGAATAAACCAGTGTACACACACTTGAGTAAACATTGTGAAAGTCTACTATGTTAATGGAGGGAGGTAAAACGACTTAAAGGGAGAGGAGAAGACACAACACACACACACAGCCTCTTTCTGTTTGTACACCTTGAGAACGAGACATATGGTGTTTGTACAGTGATTTCTTAAGAGCCTGGTTCTCCCGTTTGTGCGAGAAGCAGAGTGAGGATGGAAAGGAAACAGAGTGAGGATGGAAAGGAAACAGAGAGACGGGTGGAAAAGCAGGTGGAAAGACGTAAGGAGAGGTGAATAGGTAGAGTCAACCGAGGACACACACACACACACACACAACCCAGACGTCTCCATCAGCCTCATGTTGACAGTGTGCAGAGGGGGAAAAAAAAGCATTAATCCTTCAGGAGACAGAGGAGTGGTTTATTCACGAGAGAGGAGAGGAGGGGAGGCGGCAGGGGAAAGAGAAGGGGATCAATGGGGATGGGAGAAACAAGAGAAGGGTCAGGAACTTATGGACACATAATGAGGATAGGTGTCAAAGAGGTGGTTAGCAGAAGTTACGGAACAGGAAGAAGAGTCAAGGGTTTAGGACGAGATAAGACAAAAACCAGTGAGGTGGAACTATAAAACGACTCTTTTCTGATTATTATTATGTTCAAATAACTCGAGGAATTGGAGTTATTATTGTAGAGTACTCAGTGATTGATCTTTAAGGCATCAACACTTGCTTCCATAATATTGTCTGTAACTCCATTTAAGAGTTGATTATCCATTGTCTCGATAAAGTGTATGTTATGAGGGATGACAGTTGATTTCCCCACATGTGACAGACACGTTTTCTGTCTATTTGGGGATGTGTTCAAATGGGGCAGTGTGTTCATAAAGAAGCAACCTACTTATAAAAAGCTCTCCTGTCTTCTAAAAATATGTTTTAGTGCAACAGTGCCCTTTTGTTCTCGTGGCCTGCACTGTAAGAAATGACTGAATTAGCAGCGCGGACGTCACTGTTGCTAAGTGCTTAACACCGGGCCTTAGTGATGAAGTGATTTTCTTGCAGGGGGCGCTCTTTTTGTGTGACTGGTACCTGTTTATTGCAAACATCAGCAGCTACGGTTGCTACGACAACCTCTGAAGCACCACATATGCTACGTTAAGGAAAGGGCCATACCGTTAAATCAAACATAATATTTGTAAGCATGAAATAGTTTTGACGGTAATTGAGGTTGACACAACAGTTACATTTGTTGGGGAAAAAACGTTGCCAACTTTGTATTTGCGCTTCATACACTTTAATAAAATGGACCACAAGCAACGAACGACGAAAATGGTTTGATTGTTAAATCATCAGGAAAATCAAAAAGAGCCAACGTTTATGCGGGTGTCACTTCTTCACAGCGGCAAATGTGTTTGTCAGCACACGGAAACACATCGCTCTTAATGTCTTACGAGGAGTGTGATGCTTTTGCTTGTGATGTATACAAACAAACTCGGTCACTACGTCTCTCTACACTTACAAGGAGAGAGGAGGGGCCGATGAGAAGAGGAGAACGAGGAAGAGAGAGAGGGAAGAGAAAAGGAGGAGGGGGGCGTCCCAGTAGGCCTCTTTGTTGGGCAGCGATGTAGAGATTTACAGGCTCTTGTCCTTCTGTGTGTGTGTGTGTGTGTGTGTGTGTGTGTGTGTGTGTGTGTGTGTGTGTGTGTGTGTGTGTGTGTGTGTGTGAAGAGAGAGTAATTGAGCCTCCCTTCGTCCAATATTTACCCACCGAACCGGAGCAATCATGCGAATTATGTTTACTGGAAACCAAGTGTCTTTCTTCCTCTTTATCTTCCCTTCTCTTTCCCACTTTCCCCATTCCTCACCCACCCTCTCTCTCCTGGCAACTCCACGCCATATCAAGACTTGAGCCAGGAGTAAATCACACACACACACACACTTACACACACACAGACACGGGGGGAAACGGGCCCATCTGTATTGATGATGGCCTAATTTAGATCTCTTTATTGGACTGATTTACGACGGCCAGACAAAGCTGGGCATCTGGACCCAGGCGTGTGTCAGAGTGTGTGTGTGTGTGTGTGTGTGTGCTCAGTTGAGCTGATACCCGACCGGACACACAATATCCTCCCTGCTTAATTTTCATTTGTAGTTGTCCTACCTCTCTGTGAATGGGCCGTGTCCTTCTGTCTCCCCACTGTTGTCTCGTTTCTCTCACCGCTGCCACGAGGACGCACGTCATTCTGAAAACATTTTTTAAAAAACACCGATCATCACGCTGAACAAGGCACGCCGCAACACAAACACACTCAGGCCAGGGCCCTTCTAGGACAAGGTCACTACATCTCTCTCTCACCATTTGAGCTCATTGTGATTGATATCTCAATGCCGAGGATTTAGCTCAATCAGAGCATCCGGATTGAGGAGCGCACACATATTAACATCAGAAGGAAAGCATGAGAAAAAAAGACATTCTAGGAAGATGTTAAAAATAGTGGATTTGTCTCTTTTTTATAGATAATAACGCATTTGAAGAGCTAGACGATGAAGCAGGGATGTAATCCAGGAGGGGCAGGACGCCTCAAAGGCACATTCATCTTCAAGATCAAGCTCAGGTTTCAACTTTTATTTGTCCCAGCGGGGACATTCACAGAAACTATTAAAAACAGCAGCTTGACTTTGGGGCTTCCTCTATTTTCTTTCAGAGGTAAAACCAAAAAGGTTAAGCCTACAATTACAAAAAGGTTCTGGTTTGATAATAATAGTCTTTTTCTACTTTATTAAATGTTGTTAAAATAGATACATCTCGTCATTTCCATCTCATATAACAAGATTTCTTCAATCAACACAATTGCTGGGATCTCAAATGCAGCAGTGAAAAAGAACAACATGAATTTCACACAAACCCCAAATCAACTATAACCCTACTCCCTGGTTCCCTTACACCTACAGCATCTGTCAAACTGTAGGTCTAATAGGGGAAATCAGGTTGTATTTCACTTCCAAATACACTGGTTTGGATTTGATGAGCTTCATGAGACCATAACTGATCAAAATAATCAAAATTAGACTCGAACTTTTGTGAAACTTTTGTGTAAAACCTACCATGTCTGAATCGGTGTAGATATCACCTGTAAAGCTAAATCTTTGGGGTGAGTCTGTACGAAAAATAGAGTGTGTGTGTGCGTGTGCGTGCGCGTGCGTGTGCGTGTGTGTGTGTGTGTGTGTGTGCGTGCGTGTGTGTACAGTAGTGTCTATGGCAAGACAGTGACAGAGGGCCTCATAGAAATAACTGTGGTCTCAAGAGGCCAGCTAAAAAAGAGAGAGAGGGTAGGTGAGGGTAGACAGACTATATGAGAGTCCAGGGAATCATTTAGGGTGTGTGTGTGCGTGTGTGTGTGTGTGTGTGTGTGTGTGTGTGTGGGGTGATTCATCCGTTCTGGTTGCGGCTAACCTTGGCATGTCCTGCCACGCATGACGGGGACACCCAGACGGCTCTCTCTCGTCCTCTAGTAGGTGTGTGTAGGTGTGTGTGTGTGTGTGAGAGTGTGAGTTTGTTTGGGTGCATAGGAGCATGCACCTCATTTTGCAAAAGTCAGCCTCCTATGCGTGTGCCCAAGTTAGTGTGTGTGTGTGTGTGTGTGTGTGTGTGTGTGTGTGTGTGTGTGTGTGTGTGTGTGTGTGTGTGTGTGTGTGCGCATGTGCATCTGCATGCAAAAAAAGAGACAAAGAGGGAAAAAATGAGGGGGGAGAGTATCTAGTCAGGTTGTTAAGTGTCTTTGTATGATCTTGCCCCCGGGAGAAAGGGCACAAAAAGTGTGTGTGTGAGTGGGTGTGTGTGGGTGGGTGTGTCTGCCATTGTTCTGCTGTCAAACACTGCTATGAGCACACACACACACACACAGCATTAAAACCCACACGCACACGAAAAGCCCTGTGATGACAGTATATTTATGCCTGCATGTGGAAAGGACAATTGGATCCCGACAATCCCTTCGTACTTGTTTAAACTCTGCATCACACGCACACACGTACACACACACACACACACACACAGCTTTGACAGATCACAGACAACTGTTCACCTGCCAGTGTCAAGGACCGAGTGTGTCATCTGTCATTTTGTGTGAGCATAAGGAACTCTTGACACCAAACACACACGCGGCTGGAGGCTTTTAAGAAAGGGGAAGTACATTAAGGGGAAGTTGACAGCTGAAGAAGAACCTGCTACAGGAATAGTAATATATGGACACCTGACACACACGCACACTTAACCTAATTCTCGATAAGTTTCAGTTGCAGAATCACTTTTCTAATCTAGAAATTTGTCTATATTTAAACATGTTTGCATTTCAATCATGATTTTAAGTCATGTCCACTCCAGGCAGCGGCACATATGAAAAGTATATTAGAAAAGTGAAGAACTTGTCAAACTTCAGTTGCACTTAAGTGCTTAATGTAAAATATGTAGTGTAGAACAAGTACACCATTCTCAATTGAAGTTTGTATTATTTTAGTGCGGAGCTGTATTGTTTGCCTCGAGGTACTTTTTTCTTAAAAGACAATAATGCACTCCATATACACATGCTCATACAGAAGTAAAACAGTTCTGTATTTTACATTTAGGACATCGAAGGGGAAGGTGATTGAGTAGAAGTTCCTCATTAGTTCAAACAATCACTTATGATTCTCTCTTTTCTCTCTTCCTCTTTCCCCCATCCTTTGTTTCCCTTCAGGTTCCCGAGCGATTCCTGGAGGTGTCCCAGGTGACTCTACGTGAGTTCTTTAATGCCATCGTGGCTGGGAAGGACGCAGACCCGTCCTGGAAGAAGGCCATCTACAAGGTGATCTGCAAACTGGACCACGAGGTTCCCGATGTCTTCAAATCCCCAAACTGTCTACAAGAGCTCCTCCATGACTGACTTGAGGCAAAGAAGAAGGAAAGGCGACCCGGAAGGAAGACCGTGGAGAAACACGCTTTGGTTAGACTAGGTTCAGTAAAATGACGCTCTTAATGCGAGACTTGAAGTGGTTCTACTTGGAGGCTTCTGGAGAGATTTGATGATTTTGGTCAGCCCAACTTTTAAAGACAAACCTGCCCTCCAAATGTTTTATAAAGAAAAGAATATTCCTCTTGAAGGAGGCAGAGGGCTCAGAGTCAGACCAATGAAAGAACTGTGAGACTTTTATGAACAGTGGAAATTGAACTTTGTTGCACTTACAGAAAGCCCGCAACTCGTCCAAGCCTGCTCTTCATCCGCCTCTGGAGGAACACAAGGATGAGGAAGATGATGGATCCGGGGAGAACTGAAAATAAAGATGATAATATATATAAATCTTTTTATTGTGGATGTGTTTTAAGTTACATGGGCATTTTGGGGGGGAAAAAGTGATGTTTCTGTATTTTTGCTCCTTTGTATAAGCTTCTCTCCTATGAACCCCCAGTCACATAGACACACACACACACACACACACACACACACACACACACATTCTGAATAGTAAAGCACAGTAGCATTCCCAAATCCCCAAGTGAACCCAGAAGAACTGGACATGAATAAACTTAGTTGTTGTTGATTTAACTTTTTACTTCTCCCACTTCTTACTGTACTGAGACTTACTGGGTGTTTGTTTTGACCGTGTGGCTCTCCCTGCCCCCCCCCCCCCCCTTTACCCTTACTGCCCCTCTTGGCTCATGTTGCTTTCTAAATGAACTCAGATCTGGATACCACCAGTCCCATTTTGTCAGAAACAAAGTGAGCCGAGACAAAGTGTGTCAGTTTGACAAGTTCATCTCAGTTACTGCACTTACTATTTATTTCCTGTTCACCTATAAAGACATTTTTAATTCACATTTTGGTATGTAGAATTTGTTACAAAGTTATACACTGATTTTAGAGTCAGTAAAGAAAGAAATACACCAGTATGTATTGATCTGTGATAAGCTAATATCTTATAAGATAATATTTTCAATATACTGTATAGCGCTGATGCTGGATGAATTCAGCACACAGTATTGAGGACATGTTATTGATGTAACCATGTTGGTATTGATTTGGTTTTAAAACATGATTTGTATACAGACACTTGCTTATTGGATTATAACATTTCATTTTAAAACACTGGTGACCAATCAGCCGCACGGAAAATGTGGCTCATTCAGATATATCCGATGAAAACTCTCCTTCCTTATAAGATCCTTGAAACTGTAAGTCACCACAAAGCATCATGGGAAAACCTGATGTATCTCCTTGCCAAGGGGGGCAGCAGCTTGGGTCATGTGTGAAGTGTTTAAGGTTTTAACAGCAGAAAAAAAAAGACATAGGACAAAATGCTGATATTTGTAGCTTGTATAGATGTAATACTCTGATCACTCTGATATTGTTATTATTTATAATTGAAATAATTATTCCTATTAATGTTATTCTGATGATGATGATTATTATTAATGCTTGCTACAGATTTGACCAGTGGTTTACTCATTGTTTATCCATCACAACTGCAACCTGAAATAAATTATTCTTTGAAAAAAGGGTGTGATTGTTCTTTCTGTTTGCCCAGCAGAGGTGTAGAGAGGGTGTTTGCCTGCCCACACACACACCAAATCGCCATCAACCCAAGCGGTAACTAAGCAACATGATGGCCACTTTAACTCTGTCCATGCCCTCTCCCTCTCTCCTCCTCTCTCCTCTCTCTCTGGATTGTGTGGAGGGGACATGTGATCCCTTGTTGTTGTTGCTGATGAATTGAAAAGGGGAGCGCTGTGTGATTATTGTCAGCACAAAAGCCTCAAAAAGCTGCTGACGCCTAGATTAGCCAGTACAAAGACGCAGACACACACACACACACACACACAAAAAGACATAGGTGCAGACTCACACACACACACAAAGGCACGGGGACGAGGCCTGTCTGCCCTTGTTGCCCTATCCTTCTCTCCTCTATCCGCCCTATGTTCATCCTCTCTCACTGACATTACTCCTCCTATTCCGCTTTCTACCTCTCCTCTCCTCCTTGCCTCCCTTCTTCTAGGTTGTATTTCTGTCCTCCTGTCACACCACTTACCTCTCTAACAGTCTCAAACACACACCATGCCCTCTGTGTTGGCGCCAAACGCTAACTGGCACCACACCATCACCAGCATGGGATAAAGTGCCAGCACTCTGCCTGCCTTTTCCTCATCATTCTCCCGCTCTTACATACAGTACAGAAGCAAGGTGTGTACAACACATGGCTTCACACACACACTTCTGCCACTACTAGCATGTGTAGTTAATAAGGCTTGTATTGCCAGAAGTCCAATAAAGATGATGGCACAATAAACGGTTTATGGGTTTATGCAAAGTTATGGATCCTGTAATGATCTATGAAGGTGTTTTGTCTAAACATTAAGTCAAATTGAAAATCAAACTTACATAAAGTGGTAAGGAAGGCACTCACAAAATGAAAGCATGAGAGAAAAACAAGTCCACAGCAATATTAGAAGCTCTGTGAGGCTTTAAGCTATTTGCTAATGTCCGGATGTTTAGCAGAAAAGTACACATGATGCAGATAGCATTAGTTTTGCAGGTATTTGGTCGTTAACAGAAGTATTTGTACCGACCGACCTAATACAGGTGGTGGCGTTGCCATTTATGTGAAGAATAAGTTTAGTGTAACCACGTTGGTTTCCAAATCAATCAGTAAGCAACTCAAATGTTTTGCCTTACATATTGAATTGGCAAAGGGTCAACAGGTCATGGTGGTGGGCTGTTACAGACCCCCCTCAGCAGTCAAGGACTCTTAGTCTTCGTTAGCAAATCCTTTATCTCAACTTGTGTTGTGTCTCATCAAATGTGTTAGTTTTGTTGATGTATTATGTCTATGGGCTCAGAACAGTCTCATAATACACACATGCACACAGAAGGATTCACACTTGTATTTCATGATCCGCAAAAGGACTCACACTTGTATTTCCGGATCCACACTTGTGTTTTTCAATGCACACACAAATGTGTTCCGTTTCATATACATGTAAATAAAATCCAAATACAGAAAAAAGTTTTACATATGTATTTTTGATCCTCACATATTTGTTTTCCGTTTAAAACCCCTGAACCTGCAAACACAAACCGCTTTCTGGGCATGGATCGCTGTGCATTCGTGTGTGGGTTTTTTGAGACTCCCCTGACGGTCACCCGATTCCTACTTGTAATTTTTTCTATCTATAGCCAATCAGATGTCTCCTCAATTCTAAGCCAATCACATGAGCGCGCCCCCACGAGGGTAGATTTCTTGCGTTCATGTCACTTCATATACGCATTTTGCGCTGTCCGGAGCAGGGTTTCCGCAGACAGAATTTAATTTTACCGGACAAATTTGAAACTTACCGGTCATGTTTCAATAATAATAAGAATAATAATAAGAATTGTGTAGCAGAGTTTCCGTTAGCAGGTAATTACCGGACTATGACCGGATATGGCTAATAACACGGGAGTAAGGATCCTCTCTTTTCCTCTCTCCTGACAGCCCGTCAGTTTCTCATGCAGCTCGCTAAAACTTCACTCGCGTTTATGTCCATATCGATCAGATCCAGCTCTCCTGATCGGCCTTTATAGAGAGCACCGATCAAACTATTAAGAGTGAATATCGGCCGATAATGACCGGCGGGGCTCCCCCCCGTTGACAGTTCACTGTCTAGCACTGGCTTCGTAGTGCACTGATCGATTAGGCTAAGCTAACCTGTAGCTGCTCCCTCCACACTCACAACAACTTCATACAGACATCAATAAAGCAGCTGTATTCGACATACAGGAAACACACATTTAAAACGGTTTTGCCTGCCGTTTTTATGTACACAAGCATTCATTAATGGTTCGGAAAGTGGCACTGTACCTTAATAATATAAAGGCTTGTATTTGCGTGCATTTCCTGTTCGGAAAGTGGCAATGTACTGAGAGTGGAAGTGTCCTGAGATTAGCTCCGGACAGCGCAAAATGCGTACATGAAGCGCTACGTCATGAACGCAAGAAATCTACCCTCGTGGGGGCGCGCTCATGTGATTGGCTTAGAATTGAGGAGACATCTGATTGGCTATAGATATAAAAAATTACAAGTACGAATCGGTTCACCGTCAGGGGAGTCTCAAAAAACCCACACACGAATGCACAGCGATCCATGCACAGAAAGCGGTTTGTGTTTGTAGGTGCAACGGTTTTCAACGGAAAACAAATATGTGAGGATCAAAAATACATATGTAAAACTTTTTTCTGTATTTGGATTTTATTTACATGTATATGAAACGGAACACATTTGTGTGTGCATTGAAAAACACAAGTGTGGATCCGGAAATACAAGTGTGAGTCCTTTTGCGGATCATGAAATACAAGTGTGAATCCTTCTGTGTGCATGTGTGTATTATGAGACTGTTCTGAGCCCATATATGTCTGCCATTCCAAGTCTAGTCAGGTTTTCATGTTATTTCACGTCATGTCATGTCTGTTATTTATGTCATTTATCTCTGGTCAAATCCCCGTGTTTCATGCATGGATGGTTTCATGTCATGTCTCGTTTTCCATTTCCTGTTTTATTTTGTACTTACCTCTTGTCTCATTTCAGGCCCTGTTACTTCCACCCTTTGTGTGTTTTCCCCGCCATCGTCAGCGTCAGCCCCGCCCCTGATTGTTTCCACCTGTTCCCACTCACCTCTTGTTTAAATAGTCCTGTCTCCCCCTGTCCTGTGTCAGTTCGTCTGGTTTGTTTCCATGGATGGTCGTGCCAGGCTTCAGCCAAGAGAGGATCATTTCCAGTCTAGTCAGGTTTTGTTATTTTGTTATTTTTTACAGACTTAAGTTAATCTTAAATTCTCTTTTTGTTACGCTTGTTTTTTCCGCCTTGTGAGCGCTTTTTGTTTAATCCAGTACCTACTCTGTTAAGAGGGATTTTCTGTTTGCTTGAAATTAAAATACATTTTTTGCTACATTCAAGACTGTCTCTTTTCTGGTTAACTACAGTGTCAGAGGATTTAAAAAACCTTTGTATCTCATTAAATGTTACTCAGATTGTAGATAGTCCTACTCGCCCTAATATTAAGTCCCCTAATAATTCCTCCTTAATTGATCTCATTTTCCTGTAACTAATGTTCCCCATAAATACTCATCTGTGGGAGTATTTGCAAATGATGTGAGTTATCACTGTGCTGTAGCCACAATCAGGGACACTAAGGTCCAAAAGGATAAACCTCGCATTATCAAAACATTTTGTTTGGTTTTGAATGGGGAAAAATCGATCTGTGTGCTGATGTTGAAACAGCATGGTCTTATTTTTATCTTGGTTTTATGGAAATGATTGATAGACATGCACCCCTGCGTACATTCAGAGTGAAGGGACGAGACAATCCTTGGTTCTCTGCTGAACTGTCTAGTCTCCTACATGAGAGAAACAAGGCCTGGGCAAAGGCAATCAGGCTCAGAGGTAGACTGGCTTCATTTTAGGCAGCTAAGAAATAGTTTCACATCGCAAATCAAAAGTGCTAAGTCTAAGTATTATCTGTCAGTTACCACAAAAAACCTGAATAATCCTAGAACATTTTGGAAAGCCATTAAATCGTTATCCACCGGTGAAATCCGAAATGAGCTACCTCCTTGCCTTACCACAGCATCTGGCACTATATCGGACAGGGCCACTATGTTCAATTGTTTTAATGAGCATTTTGTGTCCTGTGGCTCTCTGTTTGATTCTGTGACTAACTCTGCTTCTGTGAACACCACAGTCCGTGTACAAATATTTCTGCAGGATAAGAAAAAAGTAGAGAAATTCATCAATTATGGTCTTTGAGAGGACTTTATCAAAGTTGTAAAACAAGTCATTTAAAAGGAAACAAACGGCAGAATCCTGATGATCTATTCTATAGCGTCTACTGCCAAAGCTTTCCATTAGAACAGGAGGCGGGGTCACTCTTTGCTCTACATATATGATCTCTCACATACACACACACACAGACACACACTCTGACACACATACACCGTCTGCCTGTGAAAGCACATCTGAGCAGCGCAACAATAAAACAGCTGTGTTTGTGTTGGCCTGCTGATTGTTTCGTTTTCAATCACCCCGTCATATGCACAAACACACTTACGCCGACACAAGCACACTTATTGTCCGCCGAGATGGCATAGCAGTGATACATCTTGGATAATGGCCGCTATTATTGTGGAGTAGGGAGTTTATTATAGAGGAAAATCTCTTCTCGACATAATTCTAATAGCACTAACTGCCTTGCGTGTTAACTGCTGCGAAAGTGAAATGCGGTGTGTGTGTGTGTGTGTGTGTGTTTGTTTTACCCTCTTTATTCACACTCACTGCCATATTGGTAAATAGATGCAATGGGAGGCAGAAACACAACTTCACGCTTGATCTTAATGGCTTTTATCATTTGTCAAGTTCATCTATCAACTTGATGATCTTCAGAAAGTATGTGGAGTCTTCGAGTCAACTTTTGAGCCAAATGTGCTGCTTTTCGTTTTTACACATTTATTGTCATTTTTCGC